TCCTCTCTCTCTCTCTCTCTCTCTCTCTCTCTCTCTCTCTCTGTGTGCGTGTGCGTGTGCGTGTGCGTGTGCGGGTGCGTGTGCGTGTGCGTGTGCGTGTGCGTGTGCGTGTGTGTGTGTGTGTGCGTGTGCATGCGCGTGTGCATGTGTGTGTGTGTGATATTATATGCTACACCACTTTAGAGGTGAAGTTGGAATACTCCAAAACTTTTTACCATATTACAAATCCTAAAATTTAAAAACTGGCATATTTGTGAGTATAATTGCTTAGAAAATTCAAACATGATTCTAAAGCCAACATAATATTTTCCCATTTGAAGATTGTTGAAGATTAAATCGATTAGTTATGCATCCTTTTTGTGGGTCAATAGGGCATTCTTGTCCGTTTTATATACTTAAGGACATTAGTACAATAAATAAGGGTATTTTCTTTCTAAGTGCTCGTTGTAGATAAGAAAGACAGGAGTGTCACTTACCCAAAAAACAGAAAGAGGGGGGTGTGGAGGCTCAAAAAACAGAAAGAGGGGGGTGTGGAGGCTATGACACTGCCTCTAGTCACCTCTCTCCATCTACTTACCTCCTCTCTACAACTTCCTCTCTCCCCCTAACTTTTCTCACTTCTTCCTCTCATCTCTGTCTTCTTTCTCTTTGGTACTATACTTGTAACATAGTATTAGAGAAATCAGATCCATAGATCTGATCTGAACTACTCTCTTTTGTGTAATTAGAAGAAAACCCTAATCCTGCCCGTGCTTATTTCATTAAAAAGCATCTTGATTTTCTTCTCTTTTGTGTGCAGAATCAATATGGTCTGTGTTTGCTGTTAAGACTCCTGTTGCTAATGTTTGCCCCTTTGGATATGAATACTCAAGACAAATAATGACTGAAATATGTCAAAGTTTGTGGCTGATTCTTTAGAAAGCCTGTGAAAGTTTGTGCAAGAGTTCCAGTGGGAAGATCTATACCATTTACATCTGAATGATAAGTATTTCTCCCTGTAATTTGCTATGAGTACCATCTTTTGGGGTTTATAAGATTCAATAGATTGATTCAGGGCCTCCCAGTGTTTGTTGTAATATTACGTACTCACCTTGTTTGTCTACGTCTTATCCTCACGGATTGTGAAAATAGGCAAGGAATTTTCAGCTTCAATGACATGATTGGAATGCCAATTACCTCTATAAAATTAAATATGTCAAATTAACTCCTATGGGCTTCGTATATAAAAGTGTTTCTTGGTGCCAAGGATGGAGTTCTTGACTGAAAATGGGCCCAAAGAATGAGATAGTATGTATGAAGATAGGCTTAAGGAGAATCATCAAATCATGACCTAGTTATAGAATAGTATGGAACCCCATTTGAGTA